GGCGCTATATCTCAACTTTCTGTGCGCGTGATTATTTAAGCATTGAACCCTATCTTCAAATTAGAGTGATAGGTTATGTGGAACCATGTATGGATTAACTCATGTTAGTATGAAGCAGTATTACCCGTCCACCGATATCACTTGGATCCATCTATGAAACTGGTTAGTCATTCGGTATCCTCATCCACTAGTATAGTATAAATTAAACTTTAAGAATCACATCCCAGTTTTGTCAAGAGAACATTGAGAGAAGATGGTGTCTAGAAATACATTGATCACATAGACCCTTATGTAATATTGCATAAATCTGCTATGCCCCTTCAGTGATTTAGAAAGTGCCCGCCAAGTGCAGAAGACGTTATTATATGTATTTACTCAAAAGTTCCTTCTGTTTATTTAGAAGACTTTATTGTTCAATAGACCTATAAAGGTTTTGTTTCTAGATCAAGCCGAGACAATCACTTATTTTGGCCCGTGTTCAGTTATAATTTTGTATTCAAAATTTCAACCTCAACTGTGAAATGAACACGCACACGCACACACAGACACTTCTGGTTGTACAATGTACATTCGACACAATTGGGGCAAATTTAATAACAGATTTATTGAAATGGCGCCAAAATATTCGGGCCCAATCGCATCGCAGGTTGCCGGATTCGCATCATTTTATAATATTACGATATATTTACACAAGTGGAAGAAGAAGAAGGTTCATAAATATTTTCAAAAAAAATTATATAGTGCCATTGCATCTCATCTCTATACACATATGTAAATATACACGTGCATTGTATGCCGTTTAAATCATAAGCCGTTTAATACGTGTCGTTGTGTGTACCAGCTCGCTACTACATTGCACTCTGCAGAGAATAGATATACACTCACACCCATAATGAAAAGAAGGCAATATGATGCTGGTGGCAGAGCGTTGAAGAAGATTGCAGGGACCAACAGACACCTCGTGAGGTATTTGCCAAGTTATGATAGAATACGTCATAATATACCAATTCATATTTTAACACTCCTAGAGTACCAAAATGCAATATAGAACTTCAAATAGATCATACTACAATGTTGTACTTCGTACTGAGTGTATTATCCGTTTGTTCTCTGTCTCTTGCTATCTTAAAATGTATCATGATAATCGTACCCATCAAGACTTGATCAATTTGTTATTTGTCTCTTGCTATCTTAAAATGTATCATGATAATCGTACCCATCAAGACGTGATCAATTTGTTATTGTCTCTTGCAATCTTAAAATGACTCATGATAAGACTACACTCGCGCTCGGGCGACTGTAGAATGGCATCACGGTACAACGTGTACAGTTTCCAACAGTGAAGCCACTGCGCAATACATGTACTGCCAAACATACCACAAGAGGATACGTGTATTTGTATACTTTGATGTTTTCCGTTATAAATTACCACTCAGTACTCCCATCATAACATTAACGATAACCCTTACACTTCTCATTCCCGATTTATATCAGACGCTCGCCGGTGGTGTGTCCCTTCTATCGCCTCAACACAATCAAGTACCTGCATCCGAACGCCAATATAAGCACGTGGTCCCTGCAAGACATACTCGCTGGGGACATTCGCAGATTGCTGGTGTTCAATTTCATGGTAGATGTACAATTCCTGCTTCGCGAAGTGCCCAGGTGAGTAGCTTTGTATGCTAATGTTCAAACTGATGCTTAACTTCCTTGGGTTTGATCCCCTATCTTTGTTAAGTACGATTTTGTGCGTGTCTCTTAAGTGTGCGGCCTTGTGTGCGTGTAGTAATTAAATGCATTATACTATGACGAGAGTGAGTTCAAAATTACAGGTTATTAATCCTTCCCTGCTATGTGTATGCTCATGTGTTACAATGTATCGTATGAAAAAATAATATGCTTAATTGGGCTTTAATATTTTTATTTGGAATAACTATGCTTGTCAATACACATATCTATATATATATATGTGTGTGTGTGTGTGTGTGTGTGTGTGTGTGTACACATATATATATATATATATGTGTGTGTGTGTGTGTGTGTGTG